AGTTTTCCTGGAAGTGTTTCTTTAAGATCAAACATGACCCCAGAAAACTATAATACAAGCAAATGTACTCCTTGTTAATCAAGCACTTTTCATTCAGAAGAAGCGTCTCAATAATGTTTAGAAAGAAAATTATTTGAGTAAATAATGAAAATTCTCGGTCCGACTAAGTAAGGATGCCAAAACGTTATATTTGTCAAGATTTTAGGTAGTAGATCGGGACGAGAACTTTTCAGCACACCCCTACTCAAGGCACATACCACTTTAACATGTATCGTTGTCAAAACATAACCAAAGTTACTATCTACATTATTTACATCGCTTGTACTCGTTGTCCCCATCTTTATTGCCATATTCACGATGTTTCGGCTATTGTACGTTCCGACCTTCTTCATGTGATATTAATTAGAATTTCGAACCGAACCCTTTATTTAATCCACCTATTTCTTGGATATCTTAATTTCAGTTAATTCCCATGGGATTATCCACATGTTCCAGTGGATAAAGGCGTTAGTTGAATCATCCAAAGTGTGACCTAACCTAAAGAGTTGTGAGTTCAGTTCCTGGTCACAGCAGAAAGAACAAAGACTTGGAGAGTTGAGTTATTAAAGGGAATTATCTGAAACTGAAATATCTCCAAAGAAGCATGGCACGTGGAATTAGACAATATAACCCCGTGCACTAAATAACAAAGGAATAATGTAACATAAGGTCATCATCTTTTAGACGGTACTCTTTTCCATTCGAGCTATCACAGGACAAATAGATCAAAATTACATTGTTTCAAAAATCAGCAAATACTGATTGTTGAACCTCGCCAGGATGTTGTGCTGAATTATAAATAATTCTAATCAAATTAAATCCTTTAAATTTCCCATGTTTAAGTGATTTAGAAAAACTACTTCAAACAAAAGTTTTTTTTTTTAGATTTACGCTGATTAGCTGTTCGAAAATTGAACAAGAAAGTCCTCATGTGAGATGATTGTACCCAAAAACTCTTCTGTTCATCTCTGCTGCTTAAGATTTTCTCTGTTAAGTGTCCAAGAGCCTAGGAATTAGTTTTCTGATTTTGAGTTGCTTATATGCAACAAGCATTTAAACTTTACATTTCGTTACCCTTAAGATATTTTTCTGATGGCCGAGAACAAACGAAATGCCGGTGTAAACGGCGAAATAACAAATAAATTCTTTACCTCACCGAAAAATACAAAGTTTATCAGGCACCCATAACAAAACAAGTTTTTATTTAGCCCGAACTCGAACGATGAAATTCCTACCGACAAAAAGACTATCTATCCGATTTGGTAGCCGTCAAATCACTTTTGTCTCCAGAATCTATCTTGCATATCTATAAGTCTACCATTCGTCCATGCTTAGAATATTGCTGCCATATATGGTCCGGTGTCCCTTCTATTTACTTTAGGTCCCTTGATAAGATCCAAAGAAGGATCTGCAATATTATTGGTCCTGATCTGGCGGCTCAGCTTCAATCATTTTCCCACCGCTGTAACCTTATATCTTCATGTCTTTTTCTATAAATACATTCATGGTAATTGTTCAGATAAGATCTTCGCTGTGGTACCTAGAGTTTTTGAATTTAAGCACAGCACTAGACAGGCGTCGAGATCTCATCAATTTACAGTTGAGCTGGCTAGATTGAGCCGTAAATTCTATGCTAACAGTTTCTTCTCTCGCACTTCTCGCTTGTGGAACTCTCTTCCGGCTCCACGCTTAATCTGCAAAAATTTAAAAGCAATGCCAATCGCTCTTTACTGTCCACCTGATTACTCTTTTTTTCTTTCTGCTCATCATTAATGTTTCTGTTTCTAATTGTTCCACACCCATTAACCCCTTCTATTTTAGCAGTATTACTGCTTTGTGGGGGTGATACCGATTAAAAAAAAAGAGTATTAATCACACTCGAACGGAATAATGCATAAGACCATATTTAACACTTTGAGCTTTGCGTTCCTGAACAATTTTAACCCTTCTGGCTGAGCTCCTGAGTTAAAATTCGCAAATAATTGGTATGTAATGTTTCACGGTAGATATAAAAATAATTACAAGTGTCTATCCACCGTTTAACCGGTAGCTGAGCATTAAGTCATTTTCTCTACCACTGTTCAACCGGCAGGTGGGCATTACGTCATTTTTCTTTACCACCGATCAAGCGGTAGTCAGAGCTCAAAGGGTTAGTCAGTCCTATGCGTGCATGGTACTTGGGGGTCAAAGTTGTAGTTTCATCGGCATGTGCTTAATGGAACGGTTCAGGTGTCAGAGATTAACCCTAGCTTCGTCACTTGGGAAAGGTATTCCTCTTCAAAATGGCGGAGCTTAATCACTGACGAATGAGATCTGAATGAGATGAGGCATCTCGAAAACAGAGCATATTATATACCGAGTTCCCGAGGCAAAGCCAAGCGAAAAGGAAATGCCCGTCTCTTCGTTTCAACTTATCTTTTTTTTCCGACATATCCCATCTCAATCTGTCTCTTGCCAATCTTTCATGCACAATACACCGATCAAATTTCATTAAAACAAGCACAACGTTTTTGTGCAATCTGATACTGACACCAGCAAAAGCTTCGTTCAATCTTGAACATCAAATGGAATTATTGTGACCAACACTAAAGTCCTGAAGAGTGTCAACAGTCAAACCATTGAATCGTTGATTATTAAACATCGCCTATGGTGGCCAGAGCCTGCAGCAAGAATGGAAGAGTCAAGGTTTCCCCGTCAAGTTTTATTTAGTGAACTCACTTCAGGAAAAAAGACCTCGGAGTTGCCCTCCTCGAAGATCTGAGGACCAACTTAAAACAACTCTGAAAGCCACTGGGAATCTAAATCATTTGAAACACAAGCATAAGATCGTACAAAGTAGCCATGTTCCATGGCCATTAGAACCAACAAAACTTCGAAGCCACCAGAGGAGAAAAGGAGGAAGTCAAACGGCAAAAGAGAAAGGCTTGACAAAATCAAGCTTGTCCTCCACCAGCATTATTATTGTAGTCAAGAACAAGAATTAGTCATCAACGCCATCATCATAAAGGAAAAGATCAGAAAAGAAGAAATTAAATTCTTGGATACGAGATACAGATGACGATGCTGACACAAATCGCTTCTGAATTTGAAACGAAGCCTCTGTTTTGAAATCTGATATTTCTTGTGTTTCTGGAGTACGAGGTATTGTGAACTGAATAATTGACAACACTTGAATCATGTCATCGTACCTATCTACTTACTCGTATATAAAAAAGCCTAGTCTAACACGAAATCAGTGATGGGAAAAGCTTCTCCCTTCCTTTTGTCAAACCTTTCTCATACTTTCTAAAATGAAATTAGAACAAGAGCCAAATTGTTTTTACATTTTGTTGAACAACTCTCCTTTCGAGTTTCTTTACGAACTTTTTGATAAAAGTGGAGAACAGTTCTGAAATCCTAGCGGCATTTGTAACCACCCTGTCTATCAAGGGAGTCAATATGTCTTCTTGTTGGAGAGCGTTAATTTTACCGAAGTCGCATCATTAGTAGCGGGATTATCTAATCAGAAACGATAGCGTAAACTCGACGTTACAAATGTATTTGATGATCTAATTGAACCTTTCTACAAGAAGTCTAGACAGCTTATAAAAAGCATTTCTTTTTATTTTCTTTATTATTCCTTCGAACACCATTTCCGGGAAACATTTTTGTATGACAGGCAGCCATATTGTTAAAGGAGCCATCTTAGTTCGTTAGCAGCTATTTGACATGTTCTCAAATCGAGCATCGTCTTGTTGAACAAAGGCCTTTATTACCATCAACATAGCATTTATTTAATTACATCTGCCAACAAGGACACTACCCCAATTAATTCATTATTAATTGGCATTTGACCGAGGAGTAGAGTAAGTTAACTACAAGTCCAAACATAAGATGTCCCTCCCCCTCCATATATTCATACTGGATGGATTTTGTTAAATTGTTTTTAGTCTTTGAAGAAAAGCTAGTATTTCTAGTGTTTGTCTTTCTCGGTACAAATTCAATTAATTCTGGCCAGCTAATGTCGAGTTCTGTAACGCTTTGGGTAAGTGCCAATTGAAACATTTTAGATGCTGCTAGCAAAAACCTTTCCTTTTCTTGGAAAGAAAATTAAAAGAAGTGATAGTTGTTGAGAGAAAGTAAATTTAGCATTCTCCGATTAATATGAGAAAGACTAGAGTTGTGTTTTACTAAGAGATGAGCTTAATCAGTTCTAAAATCTTTGAAACTTAGATTTTGCGTAAAAGGAAAAATGTTTTGTTGGATTATTCAATAACTGTTCTCAAATGACATACTTGACATTTGCTAATAGATTCGGACTAAACAAAGAATGATATCGCATTTTTTTCTGTTACATAATTTAAAGGCAACGGGAACCTTCATATTTTACAATGATGTTTACTCTGTACAAGGCCTGAGAGCCACTTGAGTTAAGGGTTAGAGAGTAAGAGGCACAGTTTATGTGAATATGGGACGATAAGGGTTAACTTTAAGATTGTAGTGACCGAAGAAGCATCCTCAGCGGTTCGTGGGAAGAATCTGTTCGAGTGGAACTTACACCTCATCAATGAAATACAAAAGAAATGTGTGGGTGGTTCGCTACGATGGGCGTGGCATAGCGGGTTTTGGCCGTGAAGCTTAGAAGAGGTGGAACCAAAGGACGTTCATCTGAACATTTTTCACCGAAAAGTAATATTTCTCTTCATGCCTATTATGGCTTAGGCTCAAAAATCTGACAAATATACCTGAAAAAAAAAAAAGAACAACTTTATAGACAAATTTATGTGATTTATTAACCGGAATTCAGGGAGCAAACATATTTTTGTTATGGTAGGCTTTAACTGCTAAAATTATTTTTTTCTAAAAAAAAAAAAATGATTTCTTTTGTTTCGTGTTCATGTCCTCACATTTTAAAAACAAACTTCGCCAGTCAAGTTTCTTCAACGGCTGGATTTATTCCGCTTGGATCCTGATCAGTTTTCATGCACTTCATAGAGATACGGGTGGCAGAAATACGCACGACGCGGTGCAGTAACAGGTCTGTGCGCTACACTGGAGGCATCAGCGAGGACTTCACCCCAGCCAGAGAGGGTCGAAAAACCTCCCGTAACAGAGATCAGGACCTGTAACCTATCCCGAGAACAAGGAATTCCGAGTGGGTGCGGATCAACAGCCAGCGTCGATTACGTTCCGACTCTGAAACCGATGAAATAGTCTGGGGAGGACCTCAGATCTAATCAATACTGCCACGATATCGGCGGCTATTCTCACTGTTGTTAATCGCACATGTTGTCTACACGTTAGTGTCCGATGCTCGGAAAAGTATTTAGGCGCACATATACATTGTGGACATGAGAATCAATTCTGAATGGTGACTGTCTTTCAATCTACAATGCGATATTCAGACCACGTGTCAGTACTCATGCACCAAAAGTAACAAAGAAAAGTAAAACACCACCAGCTTAGAGCAAAATACCTCAAAACGATTTAACTTTTGATTAGAGGAGAAAATTAGCGATAATTACATCCAAAGCAAAAGATCAGAACTCAATCCCAAATATATACATGAAAACAAATTCCTTCTGTGCTACCTAAAACCAGATTATGAATCCTTTATTTCGCTTGCTGGGGTAATCTGTTCTAGTTCCACGTGCCATGTTTAATGGATGCCAGTTATCAAGGACACATGGCACAGTGGATAAAGGCGTTGATTAGATCCAGTGACAGCACCCAAAGAGTGTGACTTCAATACCCGGTTAAGACAGTGGAGAACTTGGAGAGGGAAATTAACAGTCCAATAGGAGATAACTGATAACTGACATCCATTAAACATGGCACGTGGAACTAGAACACTCTACCCCAGTGACATTCCAACCACCTGAAGAAGCCCGGAGCGTACAACGGCCGAAACGTTGTAATAAATATGGCGACAAAGATGAGGACAATAGTCCGAATAATATAAATAATGTACATAATACCTCATCTCAGAAATATAGACAGATATATATATATATATATATATATATATATATATATAAGAGATCATTCTAAAAAACATTCCGGGCTTAACCACAAATTTAACAATTCTTCAGGTGGTTGGAATGTCGAACTGAACACTTTATTTCGCTCACTGGGGTAGACTGTTCTAGTTCCACGTGCCATGTTTAATGGATGTCAGTTATCAGTTATCTTCTGTTAATTTCCCTCTGAAAGTTCTCCACTGCCTTAACCGGGTATTGAAGTCACACTCTTTGGGTCCTGTCACTGGATCTAAACAACGCCTTTATCCACTGTGCCATGTGTCCTGAAGATGGCCGGAGCGTACAACGGCCGAAACGTTGTAATAAATATGGCGACAAAGATGAGGACAATAGTCCGAATAATGTAAATAATAATAATATATATAAGCAAATGTAAATGGATATAGATCCGACAGAATGAAGAAAAATTTGGAAAAAACAAACAAGAATCCTTAAATGCAATTATGTTGTTTAAAATTTTCAGTTATCTGTTTTGGATAAGACTTGTTTTTATGTCCATCGTCTTTGTCAAATTGAACTGAATTGTATTTTAATGAATATGTTCCTGAAGAAGGTTTATTAAACCGAAACGTCAGACGTAGACATTTCATTCATTTTAAACAACATAATTGCATTTAAGGATTCTTGTTTGTTTTTCCAAATTTTTTTTTCATATATATATATATATATATATATATATATATATATATATATATATATATATATATATATATATATATATATATATATATATATGACGTTTATAACCATAAATAAACTATATACACATTTATTCCACCTAGCATAAATACGTAATCTAGAAATTATGACTGTAAATAACCCTCAGCATTAGCAAGTAAAAAATTATTGGGAAGGTTCAGTTTCTTCTCCCCCGCCCGCTTCCCTAGTGACCTGCATATGCAACTATATATATACAACCTACTAAAATAATGATTCTTGGTCTGATGATAACATTGAAGCAAGAAACCGACGGTCACCATACAGTATCGATTCTTATGTTCATATTGTATTTATAAGCGCGCCATATCCAATATTGAGCTGTCTTCACACGTAAATATGGCAAATTTAAAGTTATATACGCGTATGTGTTAAAAATTATGGTCTGTACATGAATAGTAATAAAATATTTGCTGGTTAGATTTTCAGTGTTTTATAAAGAACATCTCTCTATCCCATATCACTTTCCTTCAAACAACTTGTGTCACGTTAAGGGAGACATCGTTTTTGAAGTGTCATATTTGATGAAAAGGAAGAAAAACAAACTTGTCAAACAAAACCATTTGATGCAAAATACACCTGGAAATAAAAAAGTAAGTGAATTAGTTCAAAAGTTGGGATGGAATGGTAAAAATAAATGTCTGAAAATATAGCTAATGATAATATTTAATCTTAGAGACGGCTGAAGAATGTATCAACCGAAATATGATGTTAAATATGGTAGTTGGTTGATTCTATTTAGCGGCATATCAACCTGTATGGGTTATTTAATGCCGAAATGTAAATAATTTGAACGCAGTTGTCTGCCTTCAGCTACAAATAAAATGTATTGCTGGTCATGTTGATTTGAAAATGTATTGTTGCTAATTTACATAAAAAGTATTGCTAATTAAAAATGTATTTTTACACTTTCATAGTTTTGGGTTCCACTATTATTTGTTCTAACAGGTGTTACCACCCTGGGTCAGTGTTGACCTGTGAACAATTAAGTGATGGTTCCACGCTGCTGAAATCCTTCAATCTTCCAATCAGATGCCTTGCTACCGGATGTAGTTTATCGTCATATCCGGGACTGGTTAAATATAACATACATGAAAGTAATTTTCGATATTGTCATTTTTGTCTGCCGTTTCCTACCTTGAGGACGACTTTTTGTTTTCTAAGAGAGCACAGATACTACACTCTGATTCTAAGTTGTGGCCATGGGAGTCATACTGGTCTTAAATAGAACTCACTGGTCTTAAATAGAAATGCCAATACATACGTAAATGATCATGTCAGTTTTGACAGGTAGTATTCTGGTATTTAATATAATCAGGCAATTCTTTCCTTTTCACTTCCGACTGTTGGAATCTAAGTACGCTTGTCCTTTTCAGTATTTAATTTCGTAAACTTTGGTGGAAAGTCCTGAAGTTTCACCCGCTTTGCTCACTGAAAGAAATCGTACGAAAGACAACACACGCACGCTCACAATCTCTCTCTCTCTCTTTTCTTTATTCTCTCTCTCTCTCTCTCATGCACGCACAAACACATACTTTCGTTCCTTCACTCTCCTTCTTTCATACACATACACGTTCTCGCTCTTTCCTTCACACACTCTTTTTTTTTCATTCACCCTCTCTCTTTCTCTCTCACGCACTCTTTCTTTCTTTTCTTTTCTTTTTCGCGTTTTTTTCTGTGTTCATCTTAGCTGACTGCACACCGGACAAGTGACTCCACCCTTGTTTGATGTCTATCAGTCTGACTACTTACTTTACCTGTCTACTCGAGATAAACGTTCGTGCAGGGATTCACCTGACGCCATTTTTTCTTCTCTTGTTAGAAAAATCATAGTTTCAATTTCAACCTGAACAAATGTTCTGTAAACCTTAAACAAGTCTCACCGTGTCAAGTCTTTAAGTTGATTCTCTCGCAATATACAAGAATTTTTTAAAAATGTCACATTGACGCTTTCTCGCTTCATTTCCTGCCAAATCATTCACACATTTGCCTATAAGATATTGTTTAAAAAAAAAAATTACATTTCTCATATGGCCTCGATAGGTTAAGCCAATCTACTGAGATAACTGATAACCATGACGACACAAGATTTAAACATTATATTTCGAAAAGAAAAACATTATTGCGTACGAAGTTATTTTTCTGGCCTGGTTGAAGTGGGAGGGAGAACGTTTCATTAACAGAGGAAGCTGTCCAATTGATAATATACAGTGTAACCCGGATATAAGAGAGTTGACGGGACCGGAGAAGAAGTCTCTTATATTCGGGTTTGGTCTATTTTGTTTAGGTAACACAGGCTCTAATTTGGGACCAGAGAAAATCTCTCTTATATCCGGGTTACACACACACAATGAGTGAGTGTGTGTGTTCTCTTGGCTACTCCAAGGTAGGGAGGCTGAGTTTGATAAATGGTCATTCAGCGTTGTTTCTTTAGGAATGCTCATAATGAAACATTTTTATATGTCGAATTTTTTTACCTGGTTAGTTTCACATTTTTGTTGTGTTTGAATATTTACTCTAAATTCGTTGATAAACTGAGCCTTTAGGAGAATAACAGATTCGAGACGGGGTGGAGTCGTTTATAGAAAAAATCCATCGCATTTGGGATTCTTTATCTTTTATAACTTCCAACGATTCTGTTTATCTTTTACAAATTAAAAAAAAAATCGAACAATACATTTTCAAAGCAGAGTGGGGAAAATTAGTCCTTCAAAACTAAACACTTGCGACAAATTCCGACGATGACACACACGTTGACAAATGGAACAATAAAACAATTTATTTTCGCCCAAAACCAATGACGGAATATTCCATCACATTAAAAAAAAAAAAAAAAATCAACGAATCTTTGAAAGGATATTAGGCCAGGTAAAAATCGATTTTTGAATAGCATCAAATGAAGTTTTTAGAAATACGAATGAAGGGAGATTCAGTTTTTATTTTATTTTGTGAAATAAACGACCTATGGAATATTTCTCTTGTTTTATTAAGAATTTCGAATACAATTTACAAAAGAGGTTTTACCTGAAAATAAACGAAGGAAGCAACGATATTTTATAACTTCAGTTTTATTTGGCTTTCTGATTTTCAAAAAATCCTTATCCACGCATTGGCTGAAAACCTCACAGCGAAACTGGTTTTAAATTCCGTCTCCAATTTTGTTTCCCATCACGCAAAATATTTGAACTTTTTCTCGTTTACCAAATTTTCTCGTTTTTAACGTGATTTTATTCGTGTCTTTTTTTTTCTCAACATTCAGAAATGCTAGCATTCATCGACCATCGACCATATTTGCCTCGTTCATTACAATAATATGGAAATTTCTAGGACATTCGATGTACATAAATAACATGAGAAACTATAATTCATCGATAAATTCTTTTGAATTGTTGTGGTTTTTCGTCGTAATGCGGGATTCTATCGTCTCATGTATTTTTTCCAGTCAGCATCGAGTCTAGCAATAAACATATTCTTGTCAATTGCGTCTTCACCATTCGTCGTAGAAATATTTCGCTCTAAGCATGAGACCATATATTTTTTAAATTTATTCCCCCCACCTCATAAGTTGATATAAGTAGGTATTTATCAGCGCTTCCACGACGCAACCAGATGTAATACAGGGTCGTGGTTTATCGGCAGTACCATTGAAAAAATTCCAACCCCGCGTCACTGACCCTTTTTTTGGCACGTCTCAGGCGCCGGGAAATAAACTCAGTCCCCCTCCCACGGGGGTGAATATGAGGAAATCTTATACGCGTTTAGAAGAATGCGCTAATGTTATTAATACACGATATTCAATTCTTTTAACGAGTGTTTTTTGGGCCGATATACTCTTCGGCTTACTTGCATTAGCCGAAGCTCTAAAAATAGTCATTATTCTCCACAAATTTTCGAACGGCGGTAAGTTTTAGTTTTATTGTATGCACTAAGGTAAGTTAGAAACTCAATGCTTCTACCTACTATGTGTGTGTTGCATTCGATGGTCTTGAGATGTTTCTTATTTAATCCATAACTGAGGGGATTCATTGCTTCTTTAGGTATTTGTGCGTAAGTGAATGTAACGAACCCTGCTGGAATTCGAACTCGGCTCTCCGATTTCTTCTTCCGAGTCGATATCCATTACACCATCCGTGCATCCAGAAGACTCAGCGAATACTGAAGGATAACAATGGTGTGTGCATTTGTGACGACGACGACGACGGCTTCCGCACGTCCGTCACTGCATAAGTTGTGGTGAGATCCAAGGTCGGCTGTGTATACGTTTATACACCAGACACGCTATGTTCACAGGTTTGGCCATGATCGAATTCAACAAAGAATAACGGCAGCTGCTTTTTAAGACACTGACTGGGAAGAAGTAAACAATACGACTTCTCTCTTAACTGGCAATGTCTTCCTTCGGCTTCGTCGAGGTGAACTATTTCTAAATCTTTGTCTTTCAACCATTCCACCTCACCTGCTATCCTCCTCCTCCTCCTCCGCACTTATGAGGCGTGCCGCACTGATTGGGGGCCATTGATCTAATGAATAAAAGCACGCTTAAAGTTCATCTCATTTCCTGAAAGTGGTGTTCAATCTTTGAATCAAGTAGGGGAAATAAAATATACACTATTTCAGTGGAAAGAAAAATAAGTACACTATTTACATTGTTCGGACTATCATCCTCATCTTTGTCGCCATATTTATCACAACGTTTCGGCCGTTGTACACTCCGGACTTCTTCAGGTGGTTGGAATGTCGAACTTAACCCTTTATTTCGCTCGCTGGGGTAGACTGTTCTAGTTCCACGTGTCAGATCAAACGGATGTCAGTTATCAGTTATCTCCTGTTAATTCCCCTCTCCAAGTTCTCCACCGCCTTAACCAGGTATTGAACTCACACTTTTTGGGTCCTGTCACTGGATCTAACTAACGTGGAGATAGTCCGAACAATGTAAATATTGTACATAATACCTCATCTCAGAAATATAGACAGATACTGAAAAATAAGTAATTAAGAATTATTCTTCTTTTTTGTGCTGTGTTCCTTCAGTGCATATGCGATCATGGCTCTCTACAATTTCCTGTTTCACGTAAGGCTCACTAATGTTTGTCTTATCCTTCCAACTCCATCTTCTGTCATCCATTGACACAAGCTCGTTAGGTAAGTCGTTCGCTGTTTCTCTCTACCCATCTTACGTTCAGTAGGCCCTGTGAGTGTTAAATTCTCCAAGCCCTCTTTTATTATGTGACCCAGAATTTTCAACTATCTCTTTTTGATTCTAAGTACAATTTTCTTTTTTGTTCCTATTTTCCTTACAATTTCTTCATTCTTTGTTTCTAATGGAATTTTTTCTGTTTCTTTATACTTCAAGTTTTAGAAGCTCTTTTCGCTCTTCCAATCCAACTTCGGATTTCTGTGCCACATTTTCCGTAATGCTGATATTTGCTCCTAACCACGGCTGAATGTGGCAACATGGCGTCGTGTAGCAAATAAAACATTCCACTTTATGAAGAAGGGACTGCAGATGCGACAGAATTAAAAACATGAAAATGTTTGTCAAAGAACAAGTTCCATTTGACATTTACTGCATTTGGCAAACACTTGACATGCGCTAATGAATTGCAGCTTCCGAAATTATAGAACAATAAGGAAACTGACATGAAAGCTGTGTGTGTCTTCTTGAAACAATTTAGGATGGTCGAAGTACATATCGACTGAAATGAGTTTCTTTAAAAAAAAAAAAAAAATGAAAATCTCCGGGTTGAATAATCTGTGGAATATTAAAAATATTTCATCTCCGAACTACAAAGAAGACAAACACGTTTCTAAGAATAACTAAGAATTTTTACAATGCCAGATTTTTGCCAAGTTTTGGATGCCAGATTTTCTTTAGGTTGGCTGGTTATTTTGACAAGTTTTCATTCGTTTTCATCTTTGCAATATTTTTATTTTTAATTTATGTTTGATGTTTTAAATGTCTGCTTGTTTATAAAGCGAATGGACTTTTTGGCAAAGAATTGATTTTAAGAAGCCACGTTCTCTGCCTAATTTTGGAGAGTAGCGGTTTTCATAATTACTTAAAAGAAAAAATAGAACCAATTTGAATTGTTTACATTTTTGCTTGAGAGAGAGGTGTGTGTGAAAACGACGAAAGTTGTAAAATGATAAGTTTTTTTCTTCTAAGAAAATATTGAATTAGTTTCATTTGACCCATTTGCACAGTGAGGATCGAACTCAATTCATAAATAAATTTTATAAAATCTTCTTTCACTCATTAACCCTCGACCGCCGTTTATCTGTATATTTCTCTCATACTCCCAAACCCACGCCCGTGGGGTGCGGTGTGGTTATTAATACAAGAAATGGAATTAGCGAATAGAGTTCGATTTTCGACCGAACACCTTTTGTGTGTATTCCCTTCACACTCCTATGTCTTTAGGAAAAGAATGAATTCCTTTTTCTTGCCTGCAGATTATTTGAAGACCTTTAGCTCTGTTTAAGCTCTCTAATTAAAATAAAGTTATTCTGACAGATAAAAAAAACAAAGGAAAAAAAATTACTACAAGCTGGCAACACTCGCTGTTTGGTCCGAAGCCGGGTTAAGAAAAAGGAAGTCTTGTCCGGCATGCTATCCTCCTTTCTTTTTTAAAAAAAAAAAAAAGTAGATAAATAAAATTGTTGGGGGTGGGGGGACAACGAATAAAATAAGTCATGCAGTGAAGAAAATTCCTAAACATTCAAAATGTAGATAAACATTACTCAATATAGCTTGTCATATGAAAGGACATATGACGAACACATACATAGAGATATGGCGTAGGTAAATATAAAAGTGAATATTGAAATATTCACTTTTATATTTACCTACGCTATATCTCCGAACACACACACACACACATATATATATATAACAGTCTGTTTCATATATACAACGTGCGATTAGTAAATTGTCGCAATTTTATATTTTTTAATTTCGCACATGCGCGTTATTTGTTTTTGACTTTGTCGGCTGAAATTATACTAAGGCCAGTTGCGCATTGTCTATGAGAAAAAGAGCACCATGACGCAAATCACTCCGCCAGAAATTTGAATTTTGAATGGCATGCTGTACTGCTTGGTGTTCACGTCGGAAGCTCTATAACTTTTTTTTCTTTGGGGTTGTTTAATAGGAGAAAGACTTTGGAAGAACTTCAAGGGCGAATACAAGAAGTTATGTTTTCCATATGACAAGAGATTCTGGTGAAATCGATTTCTGGGCGGCCTGAGAAGTTGGTAGCGATATCAGATGCCCATATTGAATTTTAAATATAACCTCATGCTAAATGATCTCCTCTCATATCCGTTTCTTGTAAAAATTATAATCAATAAACTATAAGTATTTTAAATTGGGGAGTTACTTTTCTATCACCCTGTATATATAGAATCAATATAAGTAAAAGGCTTGTCACTTAGCTGATTGATGTTACCTTCAACATCCTGACTCAAGAGTTTTGTAGACGGACCGGTCCATCCACTCATCAGGAGTATCAGCAATTAACTGCTTATACTTCTCGATTGTGCTTTTTTATGTGCACGTATTATTGATGCTACTTTTTTTCGTATACACACAGACATACATATATATATATATATATATATATATATATATATATATATATATATATATTCTAGAGTTCTTCAGCTCTATAGATATATTCAAATTTTGAGGGAAGCTGCACCTTTAGGTACTTTTGCGTACAATGATTTTGCCTCTTTGTAATTTTCTTGGGCGATTGTTGCAAGACAGGTTTTGGAGCTGAAATCCCTGTTCTTGATCAGTTTTGCGAAAGCATTTCTGAAGGCTTCTCAAGAGATCAATTCAGGCAAAGAATTACCTGGGAGGCAGTTGAGATGCCGAGTGAATACAAACACCTGTCCAGGAGCCAGCGGAAATGATTTGCACGTTCAAGGGAAAAACGATGAGAAATATCTCCAAGTATCAGTTCAAGTGAAAAACAAAAACTCGAATTTGTTCACTGAAACTAAAACTAGCTTCACATATTTTATGGCGTTTATCTCCCTCTCTCACTTCCTAGCGTAACCTTTGTACATTTTTGCTTTCTTTCTCTTCTCTATAAGCTGCTTTCTCTCTTTCTATCGTTACCTTTGTACGTCTATTCTCTCTTTCTCTCCACCCCCCACTCTCAGAAGCTACCTTTATATGTTTCTTCTTTCTTTCTCTTTTCTATCAGTTCCTTTCTTTTTCATTTTCTATTATTACCTTTGTATGTCTCTCCTTTCTCTCGCTCTTTTTTCTCTATTACTTTCTGTCATATTTGAACGTCTCTCTCTCTCTGTCAAATTCTCCTCTTTTCTGTTTCCCACTCTGTCCCTTTATATATCTGTTCTCTCACCCTTTCATTCCCACTAGCTTCTCCTTTCTCCCTCTCATTCACTCTGTTTCCTCTCTGGCTCGTTCTGTCTCCCCCTTACTCTCCCACTGTCTCCTCCTTACTCTCCCACTGTCTCCTCCTTACTCTCCCACTGTCTCCTCCTTACTCTCCTTCTGTCTCCTCCTTATTCTCAGATATATTGCCATCCACCCACTTATTTTGGGGGTGGGGGAGAATTACCTTTTCTCTCTCCATTTACTTTTCAACTTTCTTTTTATCTTCGACATTTTAGTAATTGAGAATCGAAAGAATGATTCCTTCTGCAATTTTTTGTTCTTTCACTGACAACCGTCTTCATGTCTTTGAGATGACAGCTGTCATGGTATACTTGCGATTAAGATAGATGAAAACATAACACAACTCAAATAACTGCAATGTAGGATGCTGGAGGGGGGATGAGAAGGCATTTTAAAAAAGAAATTGTCTCTCTCTCTCTCTCTCTCTCTCTATATATATATATATATATATATATATATATATATATATAATATATATATATAAAAGAATTTGATGGCAATAATTGAGAAGAGAGTTCTGGAATCTCTACAGCTTGGATTGCACTGATGGCCCTTTTCACAGAACCTCTTTATCCTCATCATTCTCTTCCTGTGTTTATTTTGAGGGGAGAATTTAAAGTGAAAAGAGATAATTTGGAGTTTGAAAGAATGAATGTCTAAAATTTAAGATTGTGACTTTTGACTTTTCAGAATAAATATTTCAGGGAAACACAAGATGTGATATTAAAAATAAATTAATTAAATATTTAATTAATTAAAATAAAATGTAAAGATTTGAATGGCATGTCAAAATGCTACACAAAATGTGCCTCACCATAAAAACAGAAAAAAAACATTTTCAAATGAGTGTTGAAATTTTGAACGTGGTGGAAAGATCATGAGGTATGAAATGAAAATCTGTTGGTCTCCTGAAAACAGATAAACCGTATATGGCTGCATGTCATGTGATCTTTGAAAACCTAATTTTGAAGCTAATTTGACTACAGTAAATGGATATATAGTTTGCCAGGGCCAGCAAGTACATATGCTATCTCGTCTATGCTGTGACCCCCTTAAAATCAGCTTCAATATCAGGTCTTCAAAAGTATATATATATATGTATGTATATATATATATATATATATATATATATATATATATATATATATGGTAAATATTAGGACTTTGCAACAGGCTGCAGTAAAGCAACACAAAAATAGACAAATCTATGTAATGTTGTCTCACTGTAAGTAAAACAACTAAAAATACACTCACTGATAATTGAAACGATGTGCCAGCTTCTCTGATCATATGAAATAATATTGTTTGCTATAAAAAGACACATCCACAAAAATCAACTACTGTCTATATCTCTGAGATGAGGTATGATTACTTACATTATTTACATTATTCAAACTGTTATCCTCATCTTCGTTGCCATATACACAACGTTTCGGCCTCTATATCTCCGAGATGAGGCATCATAATTACTTGCATTATTTACATTATTCAGACTGTTATCCTCTTCTTCATTGCCATATTCACAAGGACACATGGCTCAGTGTATAAAGACGTTACTTAGATCCAGCGACTAGCTTCTAGTGATATAAAGACTGTCTATATCTCTGAGATGAAGTATTATGATTACTTGTATTATTTACATTATTTAACTGTTATCCTCATCTTAATTACCATATTCACAACGTTTCAGCCATTGTATACTCTGTCCTTCTTCAGATGATTGGAATTTCAAACCTTCAGGATGTCTCAGTTATTTCCCTTTAACTTAACTCTCCATGTTTTTTTTGTTCACCATTGCTGTGGTCTGGTATTGAATTCACAACTCTTTGGATCTAGTCATTGGATCTAACCAATGTTTTTATCCACTGGGCCATGTGTCCTTGAGTACATCTATGTATGAAGGGTTTGGTTCAAAACTCCAATCATCTGAAGGAGGCTGGGGCAGACAATGTTGTGAATATGGCAATGAAGATTAGGATAACAGTCTGAATAATATAAATAATGCAAGTAAAAATCAACTTACACACACCTTTGTATACAAAAACTATATTGTAAAATATAAATCAGTTTTACATTTTAACTCATTTATTTGAGGTTTATTTAATATACACTATGACTATCAACACTCGTATGAAATAATGATCCTGTGAAAAGAACTTTAAATAGAATCTTTCTAATAAAAGGCATTTTTAAGAATGACTGGCCTTCTCTACACTAATTGTTGAACATAGACTCGTCCATTATTATCAATAAGAACATCTGCTCAGGGGAACAAGGGTCGCAAAGTGGATCACAAGATGCAATGTTGAGTTGTAAGCATTTCCACATTGAACTGCGGTATTCACTATTATTGTATTATTAATAATCAATGTCCCTCATGGGATTAAACCTTTTCTTCAATAATCTTTTTGTTCCAGTGTTTCTTTACCATATTATTAACTGGAACGATGACCTTATACAAGCATTATAAGAATTTTGTTTCAACAGACTAAAATAGTCATGTAGTGCTCACATCGCAATAAAATTTTTATAATTATTTTAAAATAATAAATAATGACTATGCATTTTGTAACATTCATATTAAATCAGCCAGAATTAATGAAGATAAATGAAAATGGATGCTTTTCTATATGAGAGACAAAATTTTAACTTGGAGGTTTAGCAACAAAGCCTTTCTCTGTTATTGCAGCTTTATCTCCTAAAGTCATTCTAAAAGTTCCTTCTTTGGGGGTAAATTCTAATATATTTAATAAATTTAATTTGTAGTCATGAATTAGTTTATTTTAATAAAATAGATGTTGCTGACAGAATGCTTAATTTATAGTAAATATTTTAACTGAAAGTATTTAATTTCATTCGTAATTAAATATATTAATAAATGTGACATTGTTGTCAACTTTCAATTTATTAAAATATTCCTTATTTCATTATTTTCAATTAAATGTGACTTTTAAAAAGATATTTTATTTTTCAATGACAGAATACAATATTTCAAACCATGTGACAATACATTCTTCTGTGGACTTTTGAACAAGATTAAAGGTACATGCTGTGGCTTTCCTTTGTCTCTTCAAGTATTTTCACGGCAACTGCTCCAATGAGTTCTTTTACTCCAACAGATTTTTTTCTCACACTTCCCATCTGTGGAACTCCTTTCCTCTTACTTGCTTCCTTCATGGCTATAAGCTTCAAATATTCAAGTGTAATGTCAAGCATCATCTTCTGATGCCATGATCTTGTTTCACGTCCATTATCCTTTCCTCAAACACATCTCTTTTCTCTTGTTCTCATCCTCTGTAAATCCTTGCATGCTAGTGGCACCTCCACCTTGCTTGGGTTGAAATACTTAAAAAAAAAAAAAAAAAAAGGTTCAAACCTTTCTATTTTGCACACTAGCGGATATAACAAATCTGAGAGTAATTACAATTCAGCTTTCTGATTAACAATTCCAAACCATTATCCATTATATCGCCTGCATATCCAGACTTACACCACCTGGTATTCCGAAATGGTCACCTATCTAGGTATTAAGGTTTTCCAGGCTTAATATAGCTTAACTTCAACATGATGTGGCCATAAGCCCTGGTTTTTTGAGCAGAGGTTTATCCCTTGTTTCCTGTTTAAGAGCGTCCTGGGTATGATGATAAACTACATCCGCGTCCTGGGTATGACGATAAACTACGTTCAACAGTAAGGCCTCTGATAATGTTTTTGAAAAAATAATGTTGCCAGCTCTACGTTTTTGAAAAAATATTACCAGCTATATGTTTGTTTGTTTTTAAAGAATAGTATTGCCGGCTATATGTTTTGGAAAAATAGTATTACCAGCTGTATGTTTTTGAGGAAAAAAATATTAACAGAAATAGATTTTTGACAAAACAAAAGTATTACCAGGAAAAAAAAATATGATTTGTTGGCATTAAATGACTCATTGAGGTTGATGTGTCATAAACCAAACCAAACCAAAACAAACCAAACCTGTTTAGGATTGGGCTTCCAGTTCCTTCTAATGTCTACTTCAACCCTAACACTTCTAAAGTCTTCATCTAAATTCTGCTTATACTGATCGTTTCTTGTTCTATGTTGCTGCGTTGCTGCTTATGACTTTTGCTCGATGTTATAAGCAGTGGCCAATTCCTTTCTTTACATTGTATGGGTGGAGGAAATTGAAGTTGAGGTATTGTCCGGTGAATGTTGTCTTGTGATATATGGATGTCTTGAATCCATGTTCTGTTGAAGATATTAGTATATCCAGGAATGTGAGTTTGTTGTTGCTTTCCCTCTCCATTGTGAACTGTATTGATGATCTTATTGAGTTCACATGGTCCAGTAGTAGCTGGACGTCTTCCTGGTGTGGCCAAAGTATGAAGGTATCACCTACCTACATATCTCAGTCATAGGGTTGGCTTTAGTGATGTGGATTCTAATGCCATTTCTTTGAAGTATTCCATGTACGTGTTTGCCATTGCTGGTGATAATGGTGAGCCCATTGCTAAGCCTTCATTCTGTTGATATATGTCTGATCCCATTCCAAAGTGTTGGTATGCAGAAAGTCAGCAACTCCATCAGGTTATCTATTGGTATACTGGTCCATTCCCCTAGAGATGAGTGTGAGGCCAGTCTGTTCCTGACTACCGATAGTGCCTCCTCTGTGGGTACCTTGGTGAACAAATTCACCATGTCCAGACTCACCATCTGGTTGGATTGGATGGGAGCATCTTTGATTATTTCTATGAAGTGAGTGGAGTTGGAGTTTAGGACATATGAAAGTGACTTTCCATTTAATGGATCAATTATATTTACAAGGAAGCGACTAAGAGGGTGGCACACACAGCCTTAGCAGCTAACAATCAGCCTGAGCAGAATACTGTCTTGAAAAAAATTTGGGGAGACCATATATATGAGGTAGCTTGCTGTAACATTGTGACAACTGCCTGTATGTCTTAGGTGAGAAGTGGTCCTTGTTCTTGATTAGGATCTGTGACAGTTTCATTCTATTTTCATTGTTGGATCTTTCTTTACTGTAGCTACCATTTCTAATGAGGCCTTCCAGTTTTCCTATATATTACAATTTGTCCATTTTCACATTGCCTTTGTCAGCTGGTAGTATGATGTTGTTTTCATTTCTCTATAGGGTTCTAATTACCAGCCTTTCCAATTTTTTGATGTTTTATTTGGGCAGCTTGGCTTTCTCCAATATTTGCCTCACTTTCCATCTTAGTTGCCTGGGCCTGAGGGATGTTCAAGGCTATTTCCTTGATTTGCATA